GCTATTACAGCCATTTTAGTGCCCTCTAGCTTATTTGCTGGCTTTTGGTGTGATAGAGAACACTATCCACCAACACCATTCAACCAATGTCAGCTGATTCATTTTCTGCATGAGGAATAGAAGCAGTGGATTTTTTTCTCAGGTAAGCATATGCCCTGGGTTCCTGCCCAGAAAACTCACTGTGAGATCTTCCTTTCAGTTTTACTTACTAGAATTTTTTAGAGAAAAAGGGAAGAGTTTCTAATTGCCCATAGTGGTCAGATTCTGTGCTGGAAGCAGCTTGGTTTGCTGATGTGCGTACATTATATAATTGCATATAATAACTTCATAATGTTTTTCTATTCTGAAATCACGGGCAAGAAGCTGATCCCTGAATCTTCGGCCTTCTTTCTCAAGCTTTTCAAACGTTTGTTGTATTGTTGCATACAAAGCATTTGAAATGTTAATTCTGAAGCAATTTGAATCAGTAACTTTGAAAAAGAGGCAGATTTGCAGGATGTTGAAGGTGTTACCCTCTGTATCTGATAATGTCTGGGAGCAGAATGGTTGAACGTTGTGCTGTCTGTATTTTCCCTTGGAAGTTCTGCTGAACCATTTCACTTGGGTTGTGATTTGGCAAGAAACAAAACCTGGACTGTTCTGATTCTGAGTTATGACCAAAACAGAATCTGAAGGGATGGATCCTGGAGTGATTTTAAGAATGAATACAGCTAAGTTGAAATGTGTTGCTTTCTGTCCTCCTGCTTCTCCTCCACACAGCCTGGGTGCTTGCCTGCTCACTTCCCATTTTCCCAGCACTTTTTCTTTCCACCCCTGCAGCTACCACTGATGTCCCAGAGCAGTGTATACCCCTGGATGACCTGTCCATCAGTCTTCCCAGTACCCTCCCCTTAGCCAGCTCCTGCCCTTCTTCCCAGTGCCTTCGCATCTCTCGCTACTCGCTCCTTGGCCATCCCTGCCACTGCAGATGTCTGCATATGCCATTGCCAAGAAAATCCTTCAGCCCTGATTTATTCTTGTTGTCCACCCTCCTCTGGAACTACAACTTCCAGAAGCAGCCACATTTTGGTCTGCATCTAGAATGAAGCAGTCTTGTGATGGGGACCAATACCGTTAGAAACGTGTTTTGGTTCAGGCAAAGTGCAACCCAAACAACCTCTTCCATGTACAAATCTCCAAATCCTAGTGTATCTGCCTTCAGTAAGCTACATTTTTTTGGGGGGGGGGTCTATTCCCTCAATGGGAGCAGATAGTTTTGTTTTAAATCCTTTCTCTAACCCAGACCCTAACTTGCTTCTGGCTTAGTATCAACCATCTCTACTTTGCAACTGCCTTTTCTCCCAACAGCTGTTGCCCCCCTTCCCCAGCCCTATAGAGAAAGAAGTTAACCTCTTAGGGATAGTTAGACCCAACAGGACAAGAATTTGGAAGGATCTATTATTCAAGGAACAATAATTCAAGAAACGTGCATATTTTTTATAGAGAGGTTTCCTAGTGCATTCTATCTCCAATGTAATGTTTTTTTAAACAACTAATAACTTCTGTACTTGTTTGATTTTATTGTGTGTTGGTCTTTTGGCCATATTTTTTTGTTTCAGATATAATAAAATGTTTTTAGCAGAGGTAAGTTCTTACGTTTGACATTTTTTAATTATATTGTCACATATTTTTATGTAAATGGATATGGGCAAAAATCTATTGGAACTGCTTAAAGGATCAGGAATCTCTCATGTTTTATTTAACCTTTTTTATTAGTACTACATCCCCCCCCCCCTCAAAACTTACAGATCAGCAGATGTGCATATCATCTATATTATAGAGATAGCCAGTTGGGTGTAGCAGTTAAAGTGCTGGCCTAGAAACCAGGAGACTATAAGTTCTAGGCCTTTCTTAGACATGAAAGCCACCAAGTTGACTTTGAGCCAGTTACCCTCTCTCGGCCCAGCCCACTTCACAGGGCGCTTGCAGGGAAAATAGATGGGCTGGACTATTAGGTATATTCGCTTCCTTGAGTTATATATAAAAAAGGTGGGATAAATAATAAAATATACTGTTTGTAAGTAATACATCAAATTCCATGCAGTATTTGTTGTAGAAAAATCACTTCTGAAAACATTTAAGATTGGATCAGAACAGAGTAGTAAATAGTATGATCTTCTGACTGTAAGTGATAAAATTCAATCCATTTCAATTTGCTGATGCTCAGTGCAGTATATAGTCAATTCATTTCATTTTTCACTGTGTTGAGTTTTCCCATATTCACAATGAATGGTGTGGCTTTCATAGTCAGGAAGGATCTAACAAGAACAGTACTTGGCTACAGTACAATCAGTGACTGAATAATATCAGCTAGAATTCATAGACAACCCTTTAGTTGGAAAGTTTTTTTCAGACTTAGCAGGAGAAAAAGGTACCCTTTTATAAGCTAAAGCTGCTTTGGGTAAATATTTCAATCCATGAAAAAATGTTGCAATGGAGCGGTTGACATTTGGAGACAGAATACAGATCAAGCATGTGAGTATAGACATTTAGAAACAGATATGATGGAAAAATGCATTCAAAAGCATTGTATAATAATTGCAGCAAGAAGATCTGACCTGGGTAAGGCATTGCCGTGCCCAGATTGTATGAAAGGAGAAAGCTGCCCATGGTGGCAAGGAGTAGCATTGCTATTCACCTTCCATTAATTAAAATATGGTGAAAAGGCCAGCAAAATGCAGTCAGAAGTATTCTAGGGTTCAAGTCAGATACAGCGAGATCTTCCTTGTTATCACTGTGTTGCACCATTCCAGAGAATAATGCGGTGCAGTGAACACCACCTGTTTATATTGGGGGGGGGGGGGGGGGGAGGGGGGAAGGACATCTATAGTAGCTGAGTTTGTTCCAAGTGCTGCATCTTGGAAGCAGTCCATAAAACAACTACATGCAAGAACAAAGTTTGTAAGGGCAGGTAGGACAACAGAAAGTGTCAAGTGGCAATGACAAGAAATTTTTTTTTCCCTAAATGCTGAAGAAAAGAAACTGAGTGTTAAAGGGGAAGCAGCTAGAAATGGTGAATGATACTGAGAGTGCACAAAACTTTATTTGCAGCAAACTTTATTATGCACAATTGCAAGCAAGGAGTCACACCCC